ATTAGTAGTAAATCTCCATCACGTGCTTTCAGATGGAGCAGCATTTACTACACGGAGCCATAGTTCAGTGACAAGCTACGCAAAATCGCGTTCATTATCGCAGATGATATAATCGCGCAATAATGAAATCGAAGATATCGTTCTGCGATTATGAAAGTGGTTTGCGTAGCTTCTCAGTGAACTACGGCTCTGTGTAGTAAATGCTCTCCATCTAAAAACATGTTATTAAATGAGGTATTTTCATGTGCTTTCAGATGGAGCAGCATTTACTACACAGAGCCGTAGTTCACTGAGAAGCTACGCAAACCACTTTCATAATCGCAGAACGATATCTTCGATTTCATTATTGCGCGATTATATCATCTGCGATAATGAACGCGATTTTGCGTAGCTTCTCAGTGAACTACGGCTCTGTGTAGTAAATGCTGCTCCATCTGAAAGCACATGAAAATACCTCATTTAATAACATGTTTTTAGGCATTTCCTGGATTTCTTCTGCGGGGCCGTATTTAGAGTTTCCGCACGAGAGCGCCCTCTGGCCTTTGGACAGAGATTTACTACTGATCACAGAACCGTGCTTCACTGAAAGATACGCATGACAATTGCAGCTTCTGCCTAATCGCGATTTAATTTCGATTAATCTTGCAGCCCTAGGATAGGTTCACACAAAAACGAAAATTCTGTAATTTACTCACTCTCAGGTTGCTCCAAACCTGTATAAAAGATCATTTGCAGGGTGTTGTAACCTAACAGTTGACAGTAGCCATTGACTTCCATAGTTTTTTCCCCCCATACTATGGAAGTCAATGGGTACCGTCAACTGTTTGGTTACCAACACTGTTCAGAATATCTTCTTTTGTGCTCAACAAAAGAAAGAAACACATACAGGTTTGGAACAACTTGAGGATGAGTAAATGATGACAATTTTCATTTTGGGTGAACTATCCCTTTAAGAATTCATAAGTTTAGGTAAGAAATGCACATAAAATGAGCAGGAACACTGACTTGTATTAGAGTAACAGGACTGCTTCCAGCCTGCCTGGTCACCGCAGAGGTTTGTACTGGTTTGGTCTGGACAACAGACATCATCTTCCCAAGGCTGGAGATCTGAAAACAAAGGGTTATTACTTGAGGATACCCAAGTCAACTGCTACAAAACCAAAGTTGGATCATATAAAAAAAAAAAAAACATTTGCCATATGATGAATCATTATATGTATTCCTTATGGAAAGGTTAGAAAATAATCCTATAGTGGTACTTAATTTAGGTCACAGGGGTTGAGCAGAACAAAAAAACAACAAATAGAAAAAAACAAAAGAAAGAAGGAAGAGTTTTCGTGTTTGGAATTGCCCATAATTATGAACTAAGTTGAATTCTTGTCAATGTTAACTAATTTTAAGTCCAGACAAACTGTTGTTTTTCCTTTTTCTTACCAGAGGACCACTGCCACCCATTGTAATGGGGCTCTTAACAAGGGTTATAGTTTTGGTGACTCCTCCGACCATGGTGGTGACAACCTGAGCCTGCTGGGCTACGGTTACTGTGCCTGATTTGTGCACAGTGATGATCGGTCGATTCGGAGTGTTAGGAGTAGAGATGGCGGAAGTGCCGACCTGAGCTGCAGCCGTTTTCAGCATTCGGGTCGCGGGATTAGTAACCTGGAATGGAAGTAGGAACAAAGACACATTAAATCGCAAACAGCTACAGGACAAGAAGTGGATAATCTGGATGATTCAAGTCTGGAAGGATGTGACAAAGGGAAGTTGATGAAACATTCTTTTTTTTCCTGTTTTATCATTTTAAGAACACATTAGACAGACAGTTAACCCAAAACACCTACAGTACATCATCTCAATTTATTAATAATAATCCATTTTAGGCATGTAAAAGATGCCTAATGTCTGGATGGTTCTCAGACAGAGTAAGCTACAGATCTAATGTTGTTTAGTCAAAGGTCTGATTATGAGAGTCAATACGTCAAGTAACTTTTATTTATATAGCGCTTTTAACAATACAGATTGTGTCAAAGCAACTGAACAGCATTAATTAGGAAAATATTGTGTCAATAATGCAAAATGACAATAGTAAACACTCAATTTTCAGTTAAAGGCAGTTCATAATTGAATTCAGTGATGTTATCACCCAGCTCATTTCAGTTTAAATAGTGTCTGATACGTACCATTATAGGTGAAGCTAGTTTGACAGTAGCTGGCAGAGTTGTGGATCCAGGAGTCATAGCGACGGTTTTCATGATGGTGGCTCCGGCTGGAACATTTAGCACAGTGGTCGTGGAAGAGGGCGGGATCTTCTGTGTGGCAGCTGCAGCTGCAGCCAAAGCAGCCATGCCACTCATCTGAGGACTGCTGCCGATTGGCTAGAGACCAAAACAGTGTTACAAAGGGTTTCAATGCAAGTTCAACATGGGACACTAACATTTGAGACAGGAGTGAATGATTGGGGGGGGGGAATTGAATTGATAAACAATAATAATAACATTATTTATTAACAACAATTTATTTGTAAACAATAAACAATTTAATAAATATTTAAATAAAATGAAATAAATTATTACTTGAAATAAAATATTACTCAATTTTCAGTTAAAGGCAGTTCATAATTGAATTCAGTGATGTTATCACCCAGCTCATTTCAGTTTAAATAGTGTCTGATACGTACCATTATAGGTGAAGCTAGTTTGACAGTAGCTGGCAGAGTTGTGGATCCAGGAGTCATAGCGACGGTTTTCATGATGGTGGCTCCGGCTGGAACATTTAGCACAGTGGTCGTGGAAGAGGGCGGGATCTTCTGTGTGGCAGCTGCAGCTGCAGCCAAAGCAGCCATGCCACTCATCTGAGGACTGCTGCCGATTGGCTAGAGACCAAAACAGTGTTACAAAGGGTTTCAATGCAAGTTCAACATGGGACACTAACATTTGAGACAGGAGTGAATGATTGGGGGGGGGGAATTGAATTGATACATTTCGGATAAAATTGTGGCAAAAAATTTGTGATTTTATATCAATAAAACAACAACACCGATAATAGTAATAGCTGTTATTTAATAATAAATTATTTGTAAATAATAAAATCTAATAAAAATTCAAATTAACACATTAAATAAAATGTAATACATTCGGCGCCTGGTCGGGAAATGTCATGCCCCTTACCATAGCCGCCTGCCAGCTTCGATATCACAAATTCCGGAAAATATGCGTTGTAGTCCAAATGAGTCATTCGTTGTAGTTTTTGAAAAGTGATTTCTGTTAAATAAAATATCTCCTTTTGAAGTGGACTTTGAACTTTGTAACTTTGCATATCTTTTTTATGCTCAAACAGCAACATTACAGACTAACTAAAGTTGAAAAAGTGAAAAAGCATAATAGGACCCCTTTAAAAAAAATGTAACAAGGAACGATACTATTGTGATATTTTGCTGTAAAATTACAACGCTAATATTTGTCTTAATTTCCTAATTTCCACACCAGATCATGAGCTTGCATGTTTGTAAAAGAATAGTGCCGCACTTCACTCTAAAACAAGCAAGGCATATATTTATTTAATAAAACTTGCAGCCTTTAGGGTTTGTGAAATTTTTCACTTTTATTTAGATTAATGGTGCAGCCCTTATGTAAGATTTACACGGATACTGATTATTTACATACCATCCCCTGGGTGCTCTGTGCAGGGACAACCATGCGGACACCTGCAGGAAGTGATGTAACCGTGACTGGGGATTTTCCTCCAGGAGTGGCCTGACGCACAGTAAGGACTGACGTCCCGGGGGTGGAATGAGGCGCTGCCACTTTGAGAATAGCTGGAAACGGAAAGTATAAATTATCTTAGGTAATGTCACAATTATTAATATCATTCTTCACAGAAAGTTGCACAGAAGTCTGCCAGTTGCAAAAACCAGAAAGTCATTTGTACCTGGTCCACGAAGTGAGGCTGCAAGCGGGCTGCTTGGCATGGCGGTGGTGGGGGAAGGAACTTGTGGCACCATTGTGACCCCAGAGAGGGGCAGACTCTGAGCTGCAGGAGCAGCAGCGGCGGGCGCCGGACTTTTAGGTGAGTTGATGGGTAAAGATGGGATTGGGTTGACCGTTGGCGATGTGGCAGCTGTTGCAGCAGGGATGTCATATTTCTGCAGCTGCAGCAGGTAAGTGTCAGCGGTAGGCACTGCCCCCCAGCTCACCTCCAGAGAGTTGGTGTTGGCACGGACCAGCTGCACACGTGACGGAGGCTGAGGACGATCTGTTAGCGAAAGATGAGATTTTAAACATTGTCTGAAATAATAATACTATGAATAAGTGGAATAATTTGTTTGTTTATAATTTAGAACCATGCCAGCTACAGCTATATTCATGTTGGAAACTAGTGAAAACTAGAGAAGGAAAATGTACTAAACTATATATAAACAAGAAATAAAAACAAAACTTGAGTGTGTAAATACTATAGTACTACTGTGTAGACCAGCTTTTTCTACCAACCACAGGAAAGATTTTGTAATGTTTATTTGTGCTACACTGATAACACTGGGCTCGCCATTTAGTCAAGTCACCTTTATTTATATAGCGCTTTTAACAACACAGATTGTGTCAAAGCAGCTTTACAGTATTAAATAGGAAAAAATAATCAATAAATATTTATTGAGGAAGTAAGTATTTGTAATGGGTTAGGTGTATTAAAGCTTCTTCTGCACTGAGGAATCAGCTCAACTCACCTGTTTCCAAATACCACAGATCTTTGCAGCAAACTTGGTTGTTCCAGGCTTTGCGGTAGCCGTCTCTTCCACTCCAGACGAACAGCCTATTGTTTATAGCCACAGTGCAGTGTCCGGCTCTGGCCCTTGGGATATTATCCTCGAGCGTGTCCATCAAGATGGTTTCCCAAGACATTGAGTCTAAAGGAAATAAAGGTCAAGATCAGTGATGATAAAGCATATAAGCTGTGTTCTGAAACCTAATGAGCTATGAACAGAGGCAGCATTTTTAAGGCATAAGAGGATGTTCTCTTTTAAAGACCTTTGGCTTCTTTGTTTAACGTACCTAGATTTAAGCAAGCCAGCGTGTTAGTGCACTTCCATTCCTTCTCGTGTGTCGCCACTTTGACATCATCCATGACCAGAGGAACCCATCCACCAAACACAAACATCCTAGGAAAACATGAGACCAAAGTTAGTTATATCCACACTAACTAGACCAGTGTTTCCCAACCTTTCTTTAGTTGCAGCACCCTTTGGAAATTTTAACAAATTTGTGGCACCCTACAAAATTAATTTTGTCACAATATTTGAATTTCTAACTTCGATATGATAATTTGAAAAGTATAGATATTCGGTACAGCAGGGAAGAACTGCAGAATATACTGTCATACAGATATTTTTAATATTATTAAAAAAAAAATTGTCCATCAATCGTTGCAATCAGTAGGCTAATTTCTAATGAAAAGACCAATTTATATGACAGATTTTAATGTAGGCTTTTATTCATATGTAATTCATATGTATGTATGTAAACAGTTTTGCTCACTCAGTGTATTTTTGATTTTACAGTTGGGTAAGTTTGTTGCAGTAGCACGAGATAGCTTGTTTTTCAAAACTTTGAATTGAATAAAAAAATGACTAATTTTCGGCAGCCGGAATTTCAGTGCATCTCTAATTATTGGCGACATCAGAAACGGATATTATATAATATCTGCTTTTTTGAACATTTTAGCAATTTAAAAATATTAAAAAAAGATTTTTTACACGCACCCCGGTTGGGAAACACTGAACTAGACAACTAATTAGGTCAACATGGTTCAACACATTTTACTATTGTGATGTGAAATTATGAAAACTGTAGGGTTGCACTTAACTGTGTCCACTTCCAAAAAAGAAAGACAAAGACATTCATTAAGACTTTGCCATTAAGACAAAGATTTGTTTTATTGGTTAAAAAAAAAAATATATATATATTTTTTTATGGCCAATGTGAAAACCTTTATTCAAGACAAAGTCAATAATATATATATATATATATATATAACCATTTAGCTACATTTAGTTACACTATTAAAGTTACTTACACTATTTAAGATAATAAATAATGCATGCTGCAATTAAATATATATTTTCCATAATATTTACTGAAATAAATAATTTACAAATAAAGAAATTGTTAAAAAGAGGCATTTTTATGTAGGATACAACTTCATAACATCTAACAGCTGAATTCGCTATAGTTTGCAAAGTTTGTGGAATTAATAATTTACTAGATATTTAATGACTTATTAAATGCATTAAATGTGTATTTGCTAAATGTCGGCGCTATATGAGAAAGTATTATATCACTAGCCTTTCTATTACTATTCAGTAACATTATTAAATATTACTAATAACAGAAAAGCAAACACTATAATACTTTCATACACAGTTTAAGTGCTCTGTCTATTAATTTAATAGACAGAATTCATGAGGAAAGGCAGTAAACTATTGCTGAGGGAGAACAGGAGCTCCTTTCCATCTGTGATCAGGTGCATTTTCAGCACTGTCAAAATAAAAGCTTCTGACACTCATCAGCCAAACAGAAAAACCTAAAATGTCAAATATCATAGAGGTCAACCACTAATTTGTTTCTTTGAAATAACATGGACAATAAGACTAGGAACGTCAATAATGACTTCATGTCAACTTTAAATCTGCACAAAATAAACTGCACAATCATTTCCAAGCCTGAAGACAGTCAATGTTTAAATAAACACTGCATGTTTAAACAGGTTTGAGAAAGTTATAACTTACTTGTTAGTTATAGTGGTGGCAGAGTGGAGACTGCGGGGCAAAGGTGCCGCACCACTTATGGCAGGTTTGTTCCAGGTTAAAGTATCTGCAAAACAAATCACAGTTCATGCACGTTATTTAAAAGGGTCCTATTATGCTCTTTTTGTGGCGTTGCCTCAGATTAGAGACCTGCACTCCCGCGGGAGTACCGCGGGACCCGCGGGACCCAACGCAACAGGGTGCGGCACGGGACAACTCTTGATGGGCGAGTGTAGGTGCGGGCGGGAAGAGACCCGTGTGTGTGCGGGATGCGGGAGGATAAAATGATTCGCAGGACTCCCGCAAAATAGAAATTATCTAAACAA